TTTTTTTTTTGTCTCTCTGAACCTCTACTTTTTCGTTTATTCCAGGAATACGTATAATAACTCTTCTTTTCTTTCCTTTTCCATCTTCATTTCTTAATGTATCTGGCTTCTCGGAAAAACTTTATACTCGAATTTCTTACTTCTCAGTACGTCGGTATGATAATTGGTGGTGGTCTGAATGCTTCCAGTGATCTGCTTCGTGGTGGCACGTAGCAAACACTGCTGCTGTTACTGTTGCCATTACTGCTGATGTTGCTGCTGGACATTGATAAAGCCTCTGCACGCCGGCGCTGCAGCTCCATCTTACGTTGTGTTGTTTTTGGGATTTCTGAGTGATATGATTGTTTTACTTTGGGTCGGCTGAGACAGGGAAATGCCATATCTTATCAACTTGCACGTATGTGTATGTATATAAATATATACCAGGTACACTGAACGTATTCTCTTTTTTTCTTTTTTTAACTCTTTTACTTTTTGTGTCTATCTTGTCTCTCTGAATGTATATGTAGCGTATATATCCCTTCCGTTGTTTAATCTACTGGTTCAATAAAAACAACTACGATCGTGGCTATTCTTTTTGTATTTTTCTTTCTTTACTTTCAGTGACTGAGGAGGTATAGAAGCAGAATACATTTTCTTAAATAATAATAAAAACCATAACGAAGTATTATTTCTGATCCTTACCCAGATGTCAAGAGAAATACACACACAGTTAAGTTATACGTAAACAAAGTGTCAACGAAAACCATAAAAAAAAAATAATAATAATAATAAAAGGATATCCAAATCTATTACTCACAAAAGTGTTTTTTCAGCAAGATAAGTGCCTTAGAACGATGTGATATTTTGTTCTTTTCATCCATAGACATTTCCGCAAATGTGCTTCCATTACCCTCATTTGGTTGAAAGATGGAATCCCAACCGAATCCCTCCTTCCCCCGCGGTATTTCCACAATACTCCCCTCACAACAACCGACGAATTGAGTCACTTTCCCGTCCGCATCGCCCTCGTCGCCTGTGCAGTATGTGAAGACACAAACGGCCTGCGCGCTGCGGGTGTCGAAGCCGCTCGGCAGCCGGGCGAGTCCCGTTGGCCCCATGCGTTGGAGAAACCACTTGATGTACGGCCCCGGCAGGCCGTTGAGGGCGTCCAGGCAGAGCCCCGTGTCCTCCACCAGCACCGGCCGCCGCAGGAGTGCATACGCCGCCTGCGCCTTCGCCCGACTGACGGCGGCGACGGTGTCACTCTGCAGCTCCGGCAGGTCCAACGCCACACTCTCCAGATCCACATGCCCGGCAAGACACGCCTGCACCTCACGTAGTTTACCCGCATTTCCAGTGACAAGGGTCAACCGGGGGAGAGCCGCCTTTTCTGAAGCGATAGTCTCAGTCATGTTACTTTATTTTTCTTTTTCTTTTTTTAGCTGGTGTTAGTGTAATTGTGTTTTCACAACCCCCTTTCGCTGTTGTAATGTCTCTCTCTTATATTTTGTTGTTATGATTTCAGGTTGTGTGAGAAAGAAAATAAAAATATATAGAAAAAATAAAGTAAAATGAAATACATATTGATGAGAAACAAAAAAAAAGGTATTTTTTTGTATCACCTTTTACTTTCATTAATCCAATGCCCCCATCCACTTTTTTGAAGAAGAAGAAAACGATAAAAAAAAAGGACGGAGGCCCCATTAAAGAGATTCAATGAAGATAATAACAGGAAAAAAAAAGGAGGTAGTCATGATTTCCTAAATGAAATAAGCTCAATTTCCAATATCATGACGGTCGCCTTTACTGGTTTCATTTGATAAATGGTAGGAAACAAGAAGACTTCTATACAAGTTGTCAAAACCACTACGCAAGGTATAAATAGATAAATATTGAGGAATAGATGCAGCAACAAGAAGAGGATTTTCACGCACCCCATTCGTACTTTCAATATGACTCTTAAGACAACGCAAAAAATCTATGGGATAATATTCTTCATCGCTGCTATTTAGCGGAATTAGTGTGCTTTCATTATACATCCCATTATCATGATGATCAACTGCATTCCCTTGTTCTTCAGGAGTACCATCACTAACATCATAGACAGAAAGGTCGTGATTTGTAGATTGATCATCACCATGAGTAGCTGTATGAGCCCCATTAGGAAATTTAGTAGCTACCCCTGTGCTACTAGAAGCAGCCACACTTTGTTCAACCGCCCCTTCTAAAACATCTCGAAGAATAAAACTTAAAGCAGGGGTTTGAGCACGCAGTTGCCGCTTTTCCATACTATCACGACTACTACTTCTTCCACTACAAGCAAGTGGTAATAAACTTCCTGCACTTGTGTTATTCTTATTTTCAGGTGTTCTGTCTATACGATCAAGTAATGCATTTGCTTTATGCAATAAAATTGGTGTGGGACAGTCAACACCACCACCACCACTACTACTACAACCTTCACCATCACGAACTGTACTACCACCCCTTGATAACATATTTTTATCGGTTTTTGAATTAGATGATGAATGCCTTAGTGATGTGATGTCTTTTCCTGAAAGAGAAACCCCTATCTTATTAGATGAATCCTGCACGGAAGCGGGAGTGTGTGTAAGCGTCAACGCCTCTTTCTTACCACTCACTTTGGCTGCCCGCATTATCCCCTGCGCATGTGTCGAGTTGTCACTATCGATATTCGTTAATTCCATCGCTACAACCGCCCGTAGTGTGTGAACATCTGCCGGGGCATCTGCAACGGCCTGTTCATACGCACGCAGCCCAAGGAGGAGAAGGGCATTTGTGGCCGCATGACGATCATCAAGCGGGATTTTGTTGAGAAAGCAAGCAACCGCTGCGGGTCGTTTTTGTTTAGTTAGAAACTGACCCTTCGGGCCATACCCCAGATGCATTGATGTCCTACTTTTGCTAATAACAGGTAAAAAAAAAAAAAAAAAATAATAATAATAAAGAAAGAAAAAAAGTACTGAATAAATGTAAAAAATATCTAAACCATAATAAAGACAACACACACATAGAGAGTAAAAATAAATAAAATACCATCATTGAAAGGGGAGAGTGAAAAAAACATTATCTTCATTGATCCCACTAACTCTTATAGACGAAAAACAACACACACACACACACACACAGAATCAAAGAAAAACAGAAACAATCTGATAATCTTTGTTTTTCTTTTCTTTTCGTTTTCTTTTCTTCCCCTTTATATGTGATTAACAACTTGCAAAGTTGGTAGATTTTCAGGAAATGAAAAACTCCCTTATTAAAATGTGACGATACACCAAACAGAATCAGAAACCGGCATAAAATGAAAAATGGAATACAATAGAGAGATAGATAAATAAATAGAAAGAGAATTAAAAAAGAGAAAAAAGAAGAAAAAAAGAGCAAAATCAACTAATTCCATGCTCTTATTAGTTTCTTATACCCCTGCCACTTCTGAACTAGCACTCTTCTCGGATTTTTCTTCTTCTTCTTCTCTTACCTGTGTACCAGTAGTCACTTCTCTTCCTTCTTCTTGTTCTTGTTCTTGTTCTTCCTCCAACTGCGGTAATGATGCCACCACCTCTGGGAACTTTTTCGCCAAAGCTGCCGCTACACCGTCATGACTCATCTTTGTCTTTCTAAAGGCAGTTAAAAACTCTCGTACTTCTTCTTCTTCGAATGTGTTGATCACATCCAATGCACGATCACCGCATGCTTTAAATACCGCCGTGTCGAGTATACGCACTCTCGCATAGGCATTCACAATCTTAGTCAGTTCACCTGCAGTGAGGAGATGGGCGAGGGTTTGTACACGGGGAGAGAACTCTACAAATAGTTTCTCATATCGCATATCAACACGTGCATATGCTTCAAGTAATCGTGTAAGGTGATCACAACGAAATTCTCCACGTAATTGAATAGCACGATCTGCTAATCGTACAAATAACTTATAGTGCCATAATCCAACTTTTGAATAGGCATAAACAACATTTGTAATATCCTTTGGTGTACCATACTGTCCTACATGACGTACACGTGGTATAGCCTCAATAAATAGTCGATCATTCCTAATATCAACAGAAGCGAAAGCACTAATAACAGATGCAATGGTTACTGCTGGAACATCATTTTTTTGATTTACAAATCGATCAGCAACAATTGAAAAAAGTTCTTCATGACGACAACCTACACTAGCGTATGCTACCGTCATATGTGCCAAAGCCATAAGAGGACTAGTTGGGGCCATAGCAAGAGTACGTAAAGTTAGTTTTTCAAAGATATTATAATTATTTAATCCAACTCGCGCAAATGCCATTAATGTATCTGCAAGTTCATCAGGTGTTAATAGCTCCTGATCTTTTACCACACGTTTTCCAAGTTCTTCAAAAAAAGCGGCATCCCATATCCCACTACGTGAAAAAGCACTTAAAATCATAACCGTTTCTACAAGTGAAATGTTTGGATGTTCAGAGACATAACGCATTACTTTCTTTAGAAGATCTCTCATTAAAATTTCATGTTGTACATCCATACGATTCAAGGATACTACAACAGCAATTATTTGTGGTAAAGTAAAATTTTCACAAATAACTACTGCACGTTCAGCCAGAGACCAAATAACCTTAAAATTCCAAATAAGCATCTTTGAATAAGATGCTAACAAACTAGCTGTTTGTGCAGCATCAGCAGTAGGGGCTTGAGCAATAACATATGGTGCTAAATCAAGAAATAATTTGGTATCACGATACTCTACAGCTGCGAGTCCTCCTAAAATAGTACTTATTTGATGTAATGTTAATTCAGATGCAATTAATGTGGCTCTATTAGTAACAGCGAGACAAAAAGCATCATTACGTACACGAGCTTTCCCGTATGATGAGATAACCGCAGAAACTTGTGAAGATGTTGCCTTTTCAATATATGGGACAAGCTTAGATGCTACATCACGCATAATAGCTCGTGTTGGTTTCCCATTTACTTCTGCTGCTGCTCTTAGAAAAACCAATACACTTGAGACACTCCAACGACTAATATTTTTAGATACAGCTTCAGCTAAAACATCTGCGTGGGGATCAACAATACCTTCTACGAGAAGTGCTGCAATATCATTTGCATCTACTGGAGCACCTGCAGCACATTTTGCTTGAATAAATTCTACTCGAAGTGTAGCTAAAGCTTGTGCATCAGCACGAAGTTTTTCATCTTTACTAAATACCCGAAGTACTGTACGAACAGATTCAGAATTCCACTTTTCACGTCCTTCATTAATAGCCTGAACCAAATAACGTATCAATGGTGATGGTGTAACGATAGATGATCCTTCTTCTATAGCAGAAAATTCTGCAAGTAGTTTTGCCGCAGTATCAAGTGTAATAGCATCTGCACTAATGTAACCTTCAAGTGCATTTACTATTTTCTCTAGTACATCATTTTTAGCAGGACAACTACTGCGAATAACATACTTTAGTACACGGGCAACCTGAACAGCACTTCTTGCGGATACAAGTGGTTGTGCTACCACACGTGTCTTAAGTTCTTCAAAAAGTGCACTTTCACACATATCACGAACTGAAATAGGTGCTGTATGAACAGAAGAAACAAGTCCTAAAAGATCTGGTAGCGATACAACGGAAAGTTCAGCGCCTGGTATACCTGCCCAAACACTGGAGGAGAGATGTGTTAATACTTGATCTGTTACAAGACCATCTGTTGTGGCATGTTCAAACAATTTCCCTAAAGCTACAGCTACCATTACTTTTTCTGTGAGCCCTAAACCTGCATTAAGTGTAGGTAATACACGTTCAGAAAGTTTTTTAGACAAATCTAAAGCCCCTTGTACAGCACCATCTGAAGAAGCTGCACAAGCTGTTAATACCGCAACCAGTAACATGCAGAGACTGCTAGGTGCCATATCAGCAATAGCAGACATCACACGATCCTGAACAGCATGTACAATAGAAGCAGTATCGGCATACTCAAGACAAACAAGAGAGTAAAGCGCTTGAGCTAAAGAATGCGGGGAAAATGCGTCCGGGTGAACAGAGAGCCATACGGCGCACTCATGCAATAAAGCGAGATCTCGTGGGGCATCCAGTAAAACGAGGGTAGAGAGACAGTGAGCTACTGTTTTTCCATCCATTCCTTGAATACGGTGGAGTGGGGTGTCAGTTATGGCGCGAAGACATTCCTCTTGCTGTGTTTTTGTGGGTGAGCGGCGGTAATCCGTGCGTACTCTGTTAAGTTCCATTATGTAAAGACGCGCTAGTTTAGTAGATGCAAACCGTACACAGTGATGAAGGGCACCAGCACCAACAGAATTCCTTAATGTCATAGAGGATGATGATGATGGTAGTGACACTGCTGAGGATAGAGTTGGCGATACTCCAAAAAGTGGAAAACCCCGAAGGGGTCCCAAGAAACGAATCTGCCGACTCCAACGTGTTGGTTGCATAATGTCTTTATGTTTTTTTTTTCTTTTTCTTTTGTATTTATTCCTCCTTTGGCTTCAAATATTAGTAGACGTTCTCTCTATCTTTCTCTCTTTTGATATTTCCTTCCTTATTTTTCTCTCCTTTTCTCGATCCCTCCTTCTATCAGGTACTACAAAAAAAATAATAATAATAATAAACAAGAGTAAAGAAAGTTTTATCAATTTATTTAGAGATTACAAACATACGGGTAAAACACAATGGATAAAGAATTCCAGGAAGAAAAAAAAAAACATAGACACCAAAAATAAAGACAAGACAAGACAGGTAATGAGACGCTCGAGTTCGTTCTCTCTTCTAGTTTATTTTCAATACAACATGATGAAAAAAAAAAAAAACCTGCCTATTTTTTTTTCTTCATTTTATTTATAAACGTCCAATAACGCAGAAATGAGAAAGGGATAAATGGAAAGGCAAAGAATACAGAATTCTTTTTTCATATATAAAAATAATAATAGCTGTAGTCATAAAATACGTGGCTAGATGTAGAAAGGAAACGAAAAAAAGAACAATGATATTACAGAGAAAGGAATGAAAATCACCACAGATAAAAAAAAAAAAAAAAAAAAAAAAGAGAGAATTTGAGAGATAAACTGAGAGATAAAGAAAACGAAAAGTTGTTACTTTTCAAAATCCATAATGTAATAGGATGTGTTCCGTTTATCCATCGCTTCACTACTACTACTATTACGTCCATCCCCACNAATGATATTACAGAGAAAGGAATGAAAATCACCAAAAAAAAAAAAAAAAGAGAGAAATAGAGAGATAAACTGAGAGATAACACTAACGAAAAGTTGTTACTTTTCAAAATCCATAATGTAATAGGATGTGTTCCGTTTATCCATCGCTTCACTACTACTACTATTACGTCCATCCCCACCAGAGAGTAATTTACCAGAGGCAACATCTTCAATATTACAGGAGAAACCGTCTGGAAACATTAAAACACCATTTGGTGGCACCACCCAATTATCACTGTGTGGGTTAAACGGATCTTTCATTTCTCGGGACTTTGATGAACAAATAAAACTACTATCACGTAACGTCTGGAGAGAACGGAGACGACGCACAATCTCCAGAGAACAATTACGGTCCGGCTCAATACGTTCCTTTCCCAGACGTTCCTTTTCTCGAAGTGGATCACTGTAGATGGCAATCGCAGTGTCACCAAAACCATGATGCCGGGAACGACTCCTCCCATTAGGAGATGGTGAACATTCTTGCGGAATACCGTCACTACGGTTAATACTACCGTAACTACCACTATTCCTTCCACGGTTTTCAGGACTTGTGATATTAATTGCGGAATAGTTAATAAAAGGTTCCCTTTCTCGGGATTCATAGGCAGGATGTGTAGGAGATGTAAGTGTGCCCTGTAGTCCACCTGGACCGATCACCGGATCCCGCAGCGCATCGACACCGCAACTGCGGAACTGCGGTGTTGGATACGCCGCCCGTTCGCGTGCCTGCCGCCGCCGCTCGTGACGTCGCAGTGCGAGGGCGTCGTTATTATTTTCAATGGCCTCCCGCAGTGACTCTCGCGCCCGCCGTCGTGCCTCTTCGCGGACCTCCACGTGGCGCATTGCCGCTGCCCGCCGCTCGTCCCACGCGGCCACCGCCGCCGCCCGCAACTCCGCCCGCCGCGCCTCCCTCTCCGCCGCCTGTCGGGCCTCCACGAGCGCCACGGCGGCCCGGCGGTCGGCGTCCAACGCGGCGTGAAGAGCGGCGGCGGCGGTTTTCTCCGCGGCGGTGATCGCCTCGCGGGCCGCCCGCTCCTCCGCGAAAAACGCCTCAACCGCCCGAGCCGCCCGCGCCGGGGCCGCCGCCAGCCACGCCGCGTGGAGGTCCTCCGCCAGCCGCTCCCGTCGGGCCGTGAGATCATCGCAGAAGGCCGTGCGTTCCTCCACCAGCGCCGCCCGCTCCGCCGCCTCCCGCTGCTGCAGTGCGAGGAGGGCCGTGACGTTGGCGATAATGATGTCCTTCCGCAGGAGGTAGTCCTTCTCGCGGTACACATGCTGGCTGCGAAGACTCGCCAGGAAGGACTGCACAACCTCCACAGAGCGATGACGGAGGAATGCTGCAGTACGCATTCGAGAAATGGAAACAAGGGCTCCACACACCGCTACCCTCGCAAATACCTGCAGCTTCTGTTTCTTTACCACCTCAAGATGTTGGTAAGCCTCAGACTTTAGAAATACACGTGTCTTACCCATTTGTGCCTTACGGTAATCAAATCCAAGCGCCTTAAGTATAGCCTTTGAAACACTCACGGCATCACTAAAATCTAACGTCTCAGAACGTACTATAATTTTGTATTTTTTAACAAAATCAGGAATAAAAATCCGAATAGGATATCCTGCTTTTCGGATTTGTACCGTTCCAAGTACACCACTACTACGTAGTTGAGTAAGAGTTTGTACACCGTCAAAATGTAATGGTTTCTTGGCTGGATGTGGTTTTATACAACGAATCCAATGTGGATTTGTACCTTGAATAAGTTCCATCAAATCTTTTAACTGACTCCGAAAGAAACCACCAACTGTATACCGAGACTTATTATCAGGATCAGGCATAGGAAGTAATGTCTTTATAACATTATCTTTACTGTTATTTAATAATATTTTGAAAGCATCTTTCAAGGTATCACGATTTTTTTCAATAAATCCATCAACAACATATGTAACAGTCCCAGCGTAATGTTTAATACGAAAACATGGAGCTTTAGAAAGACGTGGACGTTCAAAAAATGGTGATTTACCAGCAAAACGATCAGATATTTTTTCAAGAAAGCTTACATCCGTTGCCTTTGCTAAAAGACAATCTTCATCTAACACAGCGAGAATTCCACCTTTAGCAGCTATCATATCCACACATTCACTGTTATCAGGGAAAATAATCTCTGTTACATCAATTCCTTCTTCACGACATTCATCCATATCTTTTGTAAATATATAGTAATTATAATGTCTTTGAAGTGTTTCATTAGTAAGATTGATACAGAGTTGTTCAAAAGAGTTTACTTTAAAATCTTCAAAACCAAAAATATCCAATAATGCCACCCACGTCAAACAGTCATCTGTATTAATAGTTTTATTAATAGTAGTCACAAGGTAACCAAATAAATTATCATAGAGAGCTTTACAAAAAGAATCTCTGGCATCAATTGCTTTAGCTTTTGTTAGTGTAGTAACGACTGGACCTTCCCTTAAGTTTAATGTGGTAGTCGTAAACTCTTTTTTAAGTTCATCTTCAGAAATTTCAAGTAAACGACAAGCTTCTGTAATATAGTGTTCTGTTTCAGAATCAATAGAAGAGGAATCCGTACTGCTAGGGATAAAATCAACATTTAATAGTGAAAGAACAGCTCCAACACTACGCCAAACAGATTCTATTTCTTTCCTATTCATACCACAAATTTCCATTGCTTTAGTTACATCATTATATTCTGCTGCATCATCCACATCATCAATATCAGGAGATTTACCAGACATAACACTACGATATTGTGAAAGATCTTGAAGTCCATAATATTCTCTATCACAACCTTTAAGTACAAGATAAAAAGCGTGATATACACGTTCATCCAATGCGGATGTAATTATACGCGATTTTTCAAGTAAATATTTTGTAATATCTGCACCAGAGAGCATTCCTTTACGATCAAATTTAATGCGCATAAGTTTACCAAAACGAGAACTATTATCATTTCGTACAGTTTTAGCATTACCAAAAGCCTCTAGAATAGGGTTAGATTGCATCATACGCAAACCAACAAAGGCTCCTGCTTTTTTTTCTTCTTCTGAACATTGTAATGCACTTACAGCGGCAAGATATTTCATCACAATTTTTGCCGCCTCTGTTTTACCTGCACCAGATTCTCCAGATACGAGAATACATTGATTCTCACCATCTCTTCGCATTTCATAAAAAGTAGTATGAGCCACTGCCCAAGAGTGAGGAAGATTATGTTGAATAGTTTCACCTTCTGCAAGGTAATCTGGCATCTTATCATCCATATACCATGGAATCTTAAAGTTAAATGGATTAAGTGCCACTACAATAGCGCCAATATTAGTGTATACTACATCACGAAAGTATCTAATCCGAAGACAATTCAATAATGTTCCATCGTGTAATACGGCGAGATTGAGTAGATCATTCACATCCTCTTGCATTGCATGTTCATCACATACAAAAACATCATCCGGGAGAAGTTTCGATACCTGTTCCTTTGCAGGTGTAATGGTACTCACAGAGACATGTTTTCCATCAAATGAGTCAATAGTCCCTGGAACCCACGCATGTTGTGGGTGATAACACATACACCGCATCCCAGGCAACAAACTGGCATGTGAACTCATCTGAGGATTAATTGTACACACTTTAACGTAGAGTTGTAAAGGGACACACAATAATAGTTAAGAAAAAGTTATGGGGAGATGATTTTTCTCTCTTTTTTTTTTATTATGTTCCTCTTATTCAATGACTGTTTCCCAGAATATATAAACAAATACACACACACACACACGCACGCAGAGAAAAAAATTTTTTTTTGGTTTTACCGCTCTTTTCAACTATACTATAGTCTCTGTTAATATAGAAATAAATATTTTCGATAAGTATATATATAGATATATATACTGTGAGAGAATAGGTAAACACACCACACTAGGTTACCAAAGGCAATGATCCACACCAACAACCTAAGGGGGAAAGAAAAAAAAAGAAGAAAGAAAGCAAATAATAAAAAAAAATTGTAAAAACAGAAATAAAAATAAAGAATTAAATGCATAAATAAAAGGAGTAAATAAAAAAAAAAATAATGTATTTTAATTCTGCAAGAAAAAAAAAAGCTCCAAAAGTATGCATGAGAGCTAATGTGACTAATTGTTTAAAGTTGATGAAAACACATCCGTTAGGACTGTCTCTGCTGCTTCTGCTAACTCATCTTCACCAGTACTACTCAATAGTAACAGAATCTTTTGCATCGCCTCTAATCCAGTTTCATCCTTTATAAGTGATACTCCACAACTATCATTCCTCTTTTCTCCTTCTCCTTGTTGTTGTTGTTGTTGTTGTTCTCGTAAGTGATCTAAGAGTGCGGATGGAAGTTTCTTATATCGTGAGCGTGCTACATGATTCGTCTGCAGTCCAGTTAACACAAAAAGAATATCTGATATAGAATGAATACGAACCCGTTCATCCAAGTGACGTACAATAGGATCCAGTATTTCCCACTGTTGTCGTTGACTTTGTTCATTCACTGTAGTGTGTTGCATTGTTAACAATACACATAATGCACAGAACAGTCGTGTACACTGTGGAAGATTAAATACATCCAATTCTTCCTGTTTCTTTACTTGCAGTAGTGGTAATATACTTTTAACCCATTCTATATTAGTCGAAGAACAACCACCTGCGGTGTAACGCCAACAAACGGCATCTACTAATACAAATCGTTCCTCTCGTGATAAGGGTGTAGTAGGAGTAGCACAGAGTAGTTCTATTGTTTTAAGCTGAACATCAAGAAGTTGTTGTAATTGATCTTCCATATTTGTATTGGAGTGAATCAGTAAAGCCAAAGCTTTCGAAATTGTAAATAGCAAAAGAATTTTCCCATCATGTGAAAGACTTACAGGTATAGTACCTGGCAGGGCACCACGAAGCATACTAACAAATGCGGTAGCCGTCCCTACAGCCGCCTCTGCAGAAGGTTGAAGACAGACAATGAGTGCAGATAAAACACATTCCCAGTGAAAAGAACTGTGAAGTAATGTTGAGAGTCGACTCAACAACTGCGTTATCATCTCTCGAGAAGGAAGAACGTTAAAAAGTACGCAGGCATTAAGATATAAACAAGCAAAATCAACTGCCACTTCCTGTTCATCTTCAGCATCGAACATAAAATTATCAAAACGAATAGAACGTACAGCAGCCTGTCCAGCAGTTCGTGCCGCTTCTGATTGATCTACACTGCGGTAGATACGAAATGCTGTAACCAACGATTCGCGTAGCTCGTAACCACCGTATCGACTAACAGAAATCATTTCTATTGTTGGTTTATCAATACAACTTCGACCAAGACGTGTGCGTTTGATTTGCGCTGATGGGTTTGTGCAGGTCCAGCGAGAAGTATGAAAATCATGTAAACTCCAACGTTTAAAGAAATGAAATGGCAATGGTGGTCGTGTGTTCAGTACTGTTGAAAGTACTTTACCGGTACCACTAATACTGTTGCTGATGTTACTGCATGAGAGGTGAGATGTCATTAATTAACACACTCAACCTTATTAACTCCCACAGAGTTTTTATTTTTTTATTTTTTCTTTTCTCGCTTAATCTGGGTTATTGTGATTGCCTTCCTGTAGAAATGATGAGGAAAGCGTACAGTAAGTATAAAACGAAATAAATAAATAAATAAATAAATAAGATAATATATATATATATATATATATATATATATATATAGCAGAAACTTTATTTTCAATTACCTTCATATAATTACGCAAAATAAAGATATATATATATATATATATATATATATGTATATATTGGTATTTTTCTCTTTCCACACACCCCTCTCTCTCTCTGTCCTATATAATTATAGTCTTTCAAGAGGGTTGAAATCAACGTATGATCCAATTAGCTATAAGCAGAATAAAGATACTCACCCATATACATGCTATTAACTGTCTTGTGGAGTTCCAAAATTGTTTAAGTGTCTTACCTACTTCTCCAACACCTTTTCTCATATTATTCTGCGCAGCCTCTGTATTTTTCAATAGAATAGAAAACTGTTCATTCTGTTGCATCACCTGTTCATTCATGAGTGAGGTTAATTGTGATAACTCACGCACAGACGCCTCTACTGCCTTCGCATCCTCTGCAGAAGCCTCCTTCTGCTGCTCCTCTAGTAGAGCATTAGCCTGTGTAAGCCGCTCTTCCTCTTCTGCTGTGTAAACAAATTTGGGAGAAGTTGTTTCAACTAAAGAAGATCTTTGAAAGAGAGAGTTAATACCACCAACACCAACACCGCCAACACCAACACCGCCAACACCACTACGCATTAAAGAGAATACACGTGTACTTGCAGGGAGTGGGGCAGATGATACGGTTTTTGCCGCTCCTTTTATAACTCGATCAACTACAGAAACTACCGCAACTGCTGAACTCGTATTTCCTTTCATGGGTTTTGGGTATAATAATCCCATTGTATTATTATTATTATTATCATTATTACTACTATTACCATTCCCACTAGTATCGCCTTTTTCTGTAACGGAATTTTCCTTATTACTTTTGGAATTTCTTGCAGGATCTAAACAAGAGAGCACACCAGCCCGTGCAAACGCAAACATTTCTTGTTTATATAGAACTAACTCCTCTTTACACAACGCCAATCGTAACCGACTACGACCTACTGCTCCTTCAATAATTTCCAATGCTGCTTGCAAGTGCTGCAAGAATTGCATTGATGGCTTAACAGATGATAACAATTTTGTCTCCTCCTTTGTTGGAAACAATACAGTATCCCATCCACTCTTCTTTTTCTCCAATTGTTCTTCTGCCTCCCGAATGGAAGTCAGTAGATCTTTTATTGTATTGGAAACTGAAAGCAACTCCGCCTCTTGCAAAAGAAGTGCACTCTCTAACTCTGCAATTGCAGGCGTACATTCTTCCATCGCACGCACAGTTGCTCGAATTCGTAAACGTGTGGTCCGTAGAGCCCCATCCGCTGCAGTCACAACAAGAATAAGAGCTCGATTAAAAGGATGTGCTCGAAGGGCTCCAATCACCACAAAATTTTCACATCCACTAATATACGGACTACTCTTGTCAAACAGTTCACGCAGAGCTGCAGTGCGGTTCATTCACCTTGTCACCACAACTCTCTCTCTCTCTCTCTCTCTTTTGTTTTGTTTTTTTTTGTTTTGTTCGTTTATTTCTTAACAACTCGACAACAACCAAAGAAAGAAAGAAAGAAAGAAAAAAAAAAAAAAACAGCAACGAAAAACCTCCGACACGCAGAAGTGGTACAAGACAAACTCCCACAAAAGAAATATAATTGTTTATTCTCATAAGAATATGAGATGAGAATTAACGTCAACACAGACTATCACCATTAAATAGAGAAATAAAACTCAAGCAATACAGTACATTTTAACGTTTAATCAGTGTCAAATAATTGGGTTCCCCTCTCACTCCACTTCCCCACCACACACACACAAAAAAAAAACAGATATATGGAAAATATTAGGGTTTTGGGAAGGCATATATATATATACCCCATACCCAAATATCAGAGAATCTATATATATAGTGATTACACCTGCTACTCCAGAGATCACACTGTTAAGAGGTCTATGAAAAACGGCGATTTTCAATAAAATTACGCCTATAAAAAATGAAAAAATCTATTCGGTTACGCTGCATTAGCGTTACGAGCAGCCTAATAGTACAAAATAACTCAGCAACTAATAAAATTATCATAGTAATACTTACCGCTTCATTAAGGGCATTACGTTGTGGCCACATAACCATATAGACAATAACAAGTGGTATTTGTGGAACGAGTGTCATGAGGGCAAATCGCATAAGCGCTGGGACGTGCTGCAAGTTATTCCCCGTGTGTCCTGCGTAGAGACGCGGGATCTCCGCTATTGCCCATATAGAGATAAGGGCTGCTCCCCACGCCTGTTGTGTCGCTGTGAGGACTCGGCTCCACGGGAATGCGAGAACGACAGGAAGTGCGAAACAAAACATAAAGGCTGCGTTGACAATAACGAGTGCGGCGAGGGCGGCGCTGCTGCGACTCACTGTATGATGATGGTACGCCCGCACCCGCATCTATACACAATATATGAGTCTGTATGTATGTGTATCTCTCTGTGTATGAGGAGTACGTAACAAGAATGTATGATACTAATCATTATAGGGGGAAGAGATAATCAATGATGAGAGAAAAAGAAAAAGTAAAGAAAATGTAGTAGAACCATGTACAGGGAGTGCTAGAAGAATATATAGTATGAGAAGGTGAGAAGAAAAACATTAGTAGAGGAAAAAAGTAGAAGAAAATAATATAAATAAATAAATAATCTGTCATGAGAGAAGGCAACACCACCCTTCCAAGTGGTTATCTACACCACCATCACCACTACTACTACTACCGTTAACTTTTCGCATTCCGCTGAGCATCTGTCAAAATTCGAAATAAAAGCAGTACCACATCACTTTATCTCTCGCAGATAATAGAGAAAAGGAAACAAGTGCAATAGTAACATATGAGAAAAAATTTTCCAACTCTTTCCACCCCACCATCCCTCAGAAAAAAAAAATAATAAATTATTCCTTTTATTTCGTCCATAATATTCCTCACAGAATATTAACATCACCACCTAATTTATATTGAGCTTCAAGAAGATGCAATTCTGTTTCTACCAACTCTCGTCGTACAATAGCACGTTGATGAAGTAGTTCTGTCAATTCACAGAATAATGAAATATGGGATTCTACAACTTTCATCTTTTTGTAAAGTTTTACCGTGTCACCTGTGTGTCTGGTACGTGTTTGATGATCTTTCCTATACTCCTGTACATCATCGTACTCATAATCAGGAATAGGCAACACCCCTTCAACAGTAGTGTTGATATGATATTGTAACTCTGGAATTAAGCATAGAAAACGTGCAAGGCGTACCTCTGTTGGTGTAACCTTCATAATTTCAGGCCAAAAAATAATAGATGCAAAATCACGTTTACTCTCCTGAATTTCCTTCACAAGTAACGCAGCTTCTTTATGTCGCTTTGATCGTTTTTTCATCCAATACTCTTTTACAGATTCCATCATGTTATTAGTAAACTTCTCTCTGGAATGAGAAACTTGTTGTATTTTTACTATATCGCTACTACTATCATTATTATTATTATTATTATTATTATTATTATTATTATTATTATTATTATTATTGTAATCCTCCAATGTCAGCTGCTGAAGGGCATGCGCTTCCGCAAATTCACCTATTCGTTCAGAACCCAAAACAGTGCTAATATTTAATCCAAAGTGAGTACGACAGTATAAATGACATCCTTCCCATGTTCCGTTATGATCTGTGGCTTTTGATGAACGGTAACACTCCAGTGTACCAGCCAGTTGAGCACATGCAGGATGCATCCATTGATAACAATGATGATGATGACACTTCACACGTGCACCCAAAGAGTCACTATGACAGAATACACAACGTCCTAAATGATCTATCTTCTTGGATCGTTTTACAGGATGCACAACGCGATGCTTAGAGTCAACTGTTAACTCCTCAAATGCGAGTGCGCAGATAATATGACAAAACTGTGATGATCCCATATTATTGGTTCTTGTTGTTGTTGTTGTTGTTTCAGATACCTGACGTTTCCAGTCAGATCCCGAAACATATGGAAGCATCACACCACCTCGACGTCCACAAGTGCAACAGCGTCCCATACTACTTTCTCTTCTCACAACGATACAGCTTGGACACTGCCAGTTCTCCACATGAGATGGAAGGCGTTGTAAAAACCAACACTGTACATGTGCTTGACATCCACAACGTTTACAACGAAGAAAAGATCCAACTCCACTTGAGAGTTCTGGTCGTGCACAAACACCGCAAACATCAACATCTTTTACCTTTTGTTGTTGTTGTTGTTGGCTATTGTCATCATTTTCGTGGTTAATGTCTTCAACAACAGTGCTACTTTTTCCTCTTGCAGATTGTAAAAGATACTTTGCGTAGTTCCTTTCAAGTTTTGTTATTACCTCAACAAAAGAGGTGTTTGAAATACCTTTTGAGTGACACCACAAGTAATCTTTGTGGTCCATCATGTAAGGACATGCCTCAAAGAGATCACGGCGCTGAAGTAAGCCGTAGGGAGTATCCTCACGTAGAGCTTGTTTAGCCCATCCTTTACGAGGAGTCGGAGCATCCGGGTACACAGTCGCAGATAACTCACGAACTCGTTTCTTTCTTCGAAGAGGTGTGACATCAGTGTGCGTTTTTGTATTTTCACTATTGTTGTTAACTACCACAACATTATTATTATTATCATCATCATCGGAATGATAGTCCTCAATAATATTAAACATCTTGTACGTGGGTCGTATTTCATCCATATTGTCGACAATCATTACAGGAAGAACATCTTTAAGGCCTATTGTAATACGCATAGATGTTCCCGTTGTTGTTGATGATGTTGATGTTTTTTTTCTTGTTGGTGAAGGTGATGCTTCTGAGACAGTACTAGAGTTTACTGTTTTTGTCCCCGCCTTCCTTCCACGTTGTTTTACCATTTTAAATAGAGGTGTTAGATTCTGCTATGTATATCCCCTATCAAAGGATAATTAAATAAATAAATAAAATCCCACGCACAGGATGTTTAGTTCAGTCGAAAATACCTATCGAAGGGATGGCAAGAACCACATACCACTATAATGGTCATTGCATAAGAAAAGGAAAAGAAAAGGAGAGAAAAAAGAAAAAAAGAGATACAAATAAAAAAAAATAGAGAGAACAACGTTGTCAACTCATCAACAAGGATGATATTGAAAAAAAAAGAAAAAAAAGGGCCAGAGAAAAAAAAGAGAAGACTGACACTGATCCACATGTATTCTTTTCATACTGCCTTTGTGGTTTTAATAACAACTTAAACGCATCTTTTTTTTTTTTTTTTCCTTTTATCTTCTTTTCGTTTCTTTTCTTCACTTTGTTGTGAACTGCTCCTACAGAACTCTTCATATTCATGCAACATCACAAGGCGTAGTTCGTCACTTTCTGTTTTTCACCAACAGAGAGTACAGGTATCGTCGGAGCAATGGTCAAACTCTGAATAAACTGATGTCGCTGCTCAACCGCTGGAAATGATGGCACAACGCGGCACTCTGGTAGCACAGCAAGACGGAAACCGCCCTTCTGCCCTCTGGTTGCGTATGCCAAAACAGTATCCCCATTACTGCGTTCACCAAACGAGAGGCAACTGATGCTTGTTGTGAGATTTTTAAGCGTTCTCAGTGGACCCGCATTAGTACCATCTTTACCATACACACTCACCACACCACTGGCAGAACCAACGGCAAAGGCGGCATCTGTGTTGGCAAATGTTGTAATATCCACTGTGCCATCATCATTTGTCTCCCGCAGAAACCGTGCAGTTTTACGCACATCATATACTGTTAATTTATTACGTGTAGCGACTGTGAGTTCATTTGAACCACTGGAGAATGTGACATCCTGTACGGGATCACTCATCTCAATACGGTGTGTAATGCTGCCTGAGGCAAGTGAGCCAATGGTAACAGTTGCTCCAGATACCACACCGACGGTGCGGGATGCAGCATCGTTCGTCTGCACAATCACTTTAGTAATATAAAAGTCCTGTTTACCATTATCACGTCGTCCGTTACGGTAGAGAGCCGAGTCGCGTGTGCAGAGAAATTTTAGTGGAGTAATGGTCCCAGTGGAGAGGTTCAGCAGGTCGGGTGTATAGGACTGGTGTCCCACCACGACGACATCCTCACCTGTGGCACCAAGCACGGCGTGCTCCACACGTTTCAACACATCCGTTTTGGAGATTTGCTCCACAAAACGGCCGGCGGCGTGAAAGAGATAAATGTGGTGATTACCGCCAACAATGGCGAGTTGACCATTGCGGTGCCACTGCACGGACCGCGCGGTATCGCGTGGGAGCGGGAGGACGGAGAGCACCGGCGGTACGGCGGCGTGTTGGCGGTCGTGGCGGGATGTGAGGAGCGGCTCCGTGCGGGCGAGAAGGGCGTCGAGGCCCTCATCCCGCCATCGCTTCACGCCGGCCGCGGCCCCCGTTTGGGCGTCCGTCTTCTCCGGTTGGGCGGCCCACGCGGGGAGTTGATGGCTGCGGCGCGCAAACTCCGGCAGGCGGCGGTCGGCCCCCCGGTCGGCCTCATCGACCCACGCGCGGGATGTCATTGGAGAAAGGGCCCACAGAGACACACACAAACACAGAGAGAAAGAGGAAGAAAGAAAGAGAGAGCAGCAACCCTCCACCGCCACAACAACAAAGCTACAGGGTGATCGTACCGGAAAGTCAACAACACCCATTGTGGAAAAGGAAAGAATAGAAAGAAAGAAAGAAAAAAGGAAAAAGAGAGCATACAAGAAAGAAAATAAAGAAGAAAATGCAAAGACAGAAATAAACGCATAGAAAAGAAAAGAATAGAAAAAGAATTAAAAAAAAAAAAACACACACACACACAAAGATATATATATATATCAGCATTGTATTTTAGTATCTTGTACCATCTGAGAACTTTCATTCTCTTACACAGTACAGTAGTAACTAAACACAAAAACAAAGAATATTCCACCAGACATTTACCACAGACGACAAAAAAAAAACACGACGAACGGGGAATAAACACAGGTGAAAACCACACACTAATGTGTACGGGAGAGACACAGAGAAAGATATACAAAGAAAGACAAGGAGAAAGAGAAAGGGGGTATATGGCTATTGAAACTGAAAAGAAACCATACTGTCATGTTCTTCTTTAAATAAAAAAAAAAAAGAAAATAATACAACAACTATAAAATTCTTTAAAAAACTAATCAGCAAGAAAAGACAAGCATCATCTAAGATTATATTTCCTCGCAGTTTATCTCGTTTCGTCATATGATTTCTCATAATCTTCAAGTATTTTTTTTTTTTTTTTATTTTTCAATTCCTATGATTCACAATAACAAAAAAAAAAAGAAAGTAAGAATAATAAAACTTTCTTATTTTTATCGCAGTTACAAAAAGAGTGATAGTAGCAGCAGCAGCAGTTAGAATACAACGATTATCACTATTCGACGGAACAATGGTCCATCACAAATGTTATTTACTCTCTTTCATAGATATATTATCCTTTTCTTTCTCTCTCTCTCTCTCTCTATCTCTCTCTCCCTTTTCCTCTCCCTCTTACCTTCATCCACCTCTTTTTTTTTTTTTCTACTTAAATCTCTCTTTCCTTTTGATGTGAATCATTAAATACCTTTCACAGTCCGTTTCGTTCTATTACTTTAATGTATTTCGTCCTATGTTTTCGGTATATGTGTAGAGTTTTTGTTTTTCTTCTTTTTCTTCTGTATCAACCTTCTCTTCTAATTCCAACAACCACACACCTCCTCCCCATCTCTCTCACTGTGTTCCCTGTATTATAATGAAAAAATGATCTCATCAGGGATGAAAAGTTCATGGCTTCTATCCACAGTACATTTATACGCCGTATCCCTTCATTGTGTGCAAAATCATGTTTTGATTCAGAGCTTAACGCAAACACAAATAAACGTGAACCACAGTAAATAAAAAAAAAAAGTTTTTTTTTTTTTCGTTTTTTCTTTCTTCTTCCAAATAACTTCATCTATGTGAAGTTTAAAAAAAAAAAGAAGAAAAAAAAGGTTCCCGAAGAAGTACTATCCTCCTTTCTTAAACCCTTCAGCTCTCTCTCTCTCTCTTTTTTTTTTTGTTGTGCTTTTCTTTTTCTTTACTTGACCTATTTCTCTCCACACATTACTCTTAACTTTCCACCGTTTCCATCCATATCCTCGCCCGAAATGTCTTGTACAAGTCTCGCACTAACTCACGGAAGTCCATACGCTGCTGCGCCTCATAAAAGAATGTAAGTTTGTTCTTATCAAACTGGTACTCTGCGTCCACAATGGTCATGGGCAGTCCACGCTCAAGCACACGCTGCGAGCACACATCAATTGCACGCCGCTCCAGTTCCACCTGCACCGTGTGTAACTGTGCAACCTCTGATTCCGTTGCCAATCGTAGTACTGTTCCTGTACCAAGACCAATACTTCGTATGAGTGTACTACCAGAAAGGCCAACCCCCAATACGGTGGGTTTGTTGCCATTACTGCTAGATTCACCAGTGTCACCTTTCGTGGGTTTCGCTACTGTAGTTTCACACCAGGTGTATGTTACAAGTCCCAAATCCTCTCCTCGGTCACCACCAACTATCACATAACTTCCAGGAGGAACATATTCTTTAGATTCAAACTGTAAGACTCGTTTTCGTTTGAATTCTACCAATACTTTACACCGGGCATGTATATCAATACCAAGTTTTTCAGGTTCATCAAGTGCACCATCCACGACAGGTACCGCTTTAGGTCGACCGTCAACATATGAAACCTTTAAACTGGTCGTAAGGTGTTGATTTTGTAAAGAACTGAGGGTACTGATATGAATAACATCTGGTTTAGAACTTAAGGACATCATACTTTGTTGTTGTTGTTGTTGTTTTATTTCATCATCTTGTATATAGGGTGAAAGCATTGATGTCATGGCGCTATGTTGTATATCATCATCATTCATCAACCTGTCAAGTGTCTCAAAACAAGTATAATCTACAGAAGGATTTCTTTCATCTCGCATATGATGATCATCATCTCTCCATTGTTTCTGTGGAGAAACAGCAGGTGTAACATCAAGACGGCTAGATCCTGTAAGTGCTGCCCAATCCGCATCTTCCCCAACTCCACCAGCAACTCCTTGTGGCAACATATCACTGCCTCTTTGAACTTGTGAATCTGAATGCATAAAAGGCATTCGTTCACTTGGTGGTGTAGATGGAACCATCATGCTATTTCCAGCAGCTGCAGCCGCAGCCGCCACTACAGCCGCCGCCGCCGCCCCGCGTTGACTTTCTGAGATGTAGCGTGTAAAGACTGGTGTGGCGTGATCGATGCTGTCCATATATCCGGAAGTATTGCTGAGACCGACAGCACTGCCGTTGCATACCATTACGGCTTGTTGAATCTTCTCCAATCGCCCTCTCAGTTCACCGTACACCTGCCGGAGACTGCGCTCCTGTTGAGCAAAATACTCGTTCATGTCTTTCTGCATTTTGAGGAGCGTTGCTCGCAACTGCTCTTGCATCTTTAACTGTTGTTGCATCGTGAATGAATAGTTTGTTTTTTGTTTTTTGTTTCTTTTTCTTTTAATTTCAATCTTATCTGTTTCTTCTTTTTTAAATTTTGACTATCTTCTTCTTTTTTTT